CAGTATATAGATATATATATATATATATATATATATATATATATATATATATATATGGTAAACGACATTTCAGACATCTTGGCTTTCATTAAAACCTAGCTTAATTGAGTGAATTAAAAAAGTATAAGTTTCCCAAAAGTATAATAAGAAACCATTGATGCTTCTGGGAACGGCAGCCCAGAACAATGAGGACAGAAAAAACATATATGTTTGAGTTATTTCACAATAAAACAATTGAAATGGTATGTTCTATTCTGTAATGTTAGTATAAATCACACACTCTTTAAATTGACATTTTATGTGTGCAACAGCCTTTCACTGGCAGTCCCTTATGGAAATTAACCATGGTTTTACTGTAGTTCAACTATAGTATTTGTAGATTTCCATGGTTTCAACTACAATAAACATATTTTAACCATGTGTAAACAAAAATATAACCTAATAAGTTTAAATTAAGGGGTACTGAATGTTTAAATGCATTTCAAATATAAAGTTACGTGGATATCATTAAAGGGGTCATATGATGCTTTTTTAAAGATCATTATTTTGTGTTTGCAACAGCCTGTCACTGGCAGTCCCTTATGAAAATGAACCATGGTTTTACTAAAGTGACCGTAGTTCAACTATTTGTAGATTTCCATGGTTACCACTACAGTAAACATATTTTAACCATGTGTAAACAAAAATATAACCTAATAAGTTTAAATTAAGGGGTACTGAATGTTTAAATGCATTTCAAATATAAAGTTACGTGGATATCATTAAAGGGGTCATATGATGCTTTTTTAAAATCTTATCTATGCACAATCAGCTTGTAACACTCCAAAGAGAAAGGAAAACTTGAAATCGCATCATCGATTCTCGATCCTGCCGTAACGAGCTCAAGAATTTAAAGCGGCAGACGCATGTGCGCTTAGAATAAACAGACGACATCGTTCGCTGGTGTGGACGCTAATATCATTATCTTTATAGTTATCTTTATAGTTATCGTTATTGGTGTGAACGGGGCTTTACTCTTAGTAATTTAATAATTTATTACATTTCATAATTTAAAAGTTCAGTTTGGGGGTATCGTATCGGTATTGGCGATACTGGCCTTTATCGGTATTGTATCGAAAACAAAATAAGTGGTATCACCCATCCCTAGCGCACATATCAAGGTCTCTCACATATGAGAAGAGTCTCTTTGACAGGGGTAGGGCGTGGCCTCAAAATTAAAGGTGAATGACGCAACATAACGCCAGCAGGGGTCACTCTTACTTCATTACATAAATAATAAACAGTTCATTTTTGCTTAAATACATAGTAGATGGAACAGTTTTGATGCTATATTATTGATTGTTTATGTTGCTATGGGTGTTGCACAGTGATACACAGAACCGTTGGGTGAAGCGGTCATAGCGTGCTTTATTGCGAATAAAACACAGCTACTGACCAATCAGAATCAAGGACTGGTACTAACCGTTTTATAAATGAGCATTATACTCCGGGGCCGTTGAATGCTTGAATCTGATTGGCTGACGAACGTTCTAAGATGTGCAATTATTTTCAGGAAAACGCACAGCGAACGTAGTTTCAGGCAGCTCTGGACCGCATTATGTCCATATCACTTCGCCAAATGATTTCTGTTATTTCAAAGGTCTTACAACAGCACAATAACCAAAACCCACCCCAACACTGTCTGTCTAATAACTTGCTATCAATGGCTCAAGCCTCCGTTACTAGGTCTAAAATGACGTTTTGGAATTAGCAATGGAGGCGTTTGATGAGATGTGGAAGAAATTAATCCTACTCACAATAGCGTTTTAAGTACAAAAACTGGACAAATGCCTTGAAATATATCATCTGATCAATGTCTTGAGGTTTGGCAACCGTAGTATAAGCAGAATAATTGACTCCGGGCCGTTGAATTATTAGAAAAATAATGCACACCCGAGGTGGTGACGTCAATTATTCCTTACATATCACACGAGAAACCGTGAGATATGGCTGTATCGGCACGGCTGTGATTCGGCCTAGGTAATCAGCATGCCGATATACAGCCATATCTCATGGCTACGAGTGTGATATTGCATTTATACAACAGTTCGACGGCACAAGTGTGTAAATTCAACAGAAAAACAATAACGGGTTGTCTTTAAAAACCCTCGTTTGTGCAGAACTACTTCCTTCCGCCACGGATTCAAATCTCAGTTTGACAGTTTAACAGCTGAGCGCAAGCCTCTGTTACTAATTCGAAAATGTCACTTTAGAACTAGTAAGGAAGGAACGTTGAGTTGCGTCACTAAAAGCTCACTGTATTATGTGGAGTCGTATTATGAGAGAGATGGACTGAGCGAGTGTGATTACCTGCATCTAATACAGCATTCATGCTTCAGCTCAATCTCATATTCACAATAAAACTTGTTAAAATTAGTTCAAAATTTGTTTTAATTCCGCTGAGGAAAGCGATATCTTTGTTGTACTATCCTTTCATCTGTTGAGGGTGATTTCTGATGACAGCGCTGCTCAGTGCATTTGTTAACTGCGTCTTACAAGCTGTAATTAAAAGTAAAAATAACTTAATTTTCAGTCTCTTTCAATATAAAAGTCTTTAATGCTGATTCACTCATAAAAACAGTCTCTTGTCGCCATCTAATGGCGGAACAATGTAACTAAAATCACCATCACGAACACGCACGTTTCCCAGTAGTAAATACTATTATTAAATACTACTATTATATAAAATATAATTTATTGAATATTATTATATATTGAATATTTATTACATCATAAAAGTTGCTAGGCAATTCAGTCAAAATTACAAAGTCAGCGCTCTGAAATACATGTATGTATATGTGTGTGTGTGTGTGTGTGTGTGTGTTTGTGTGTGTATAGTAAATAATAATATATAATATTATACATTACAGTATAAAATAATACATAATTACATTTGGCCCCCTTCAATCTTGAATATGTGGTTACATCCTTAGTACGTTATGACACAGTACTGTTTCTCTTCACTGAGCAAGCTTTTAATAAACATCTTTAATTTTGATCCAGACGCACTGGGCCAAATAGACTTTACTCTCCCTGTTCATTGATTATGTTGTGCATTTATGAAAGCACCATAAAAAAATGTTAACTACATTTTTGAAATATAG